CAGTAGCTGTGTACTGACAAACAGCCTTCTGTGCTGAAGACACATGGCCACACAATTATCCTGATTCCTAGGAAAGCTGAAAAAGATGTCATGTTGAACAAAGCNAGGAGACGAAAAGGAAAAATTCGGATGCAGCTGAGTCCTGCACATCTAAGCCTTGTAAATGGAATGTGCCAGGGAAACGCAAGGGTCCAGTGACACCTATCTCTGAGATGAGCTTTGTCAAACATGATTATGCTAAAGAAAAGAAAGCAAAAAGGCCAAAGCTAGCCTCATGTCCAGCACAGAATGGTACCTGTGTATCAGAAAAAAAAGTCTGGCCAAGTGAAAGATTACAAAACTTCCATAAATCTTTAAAAGAATATCAAATGAAATCTGGGAGAGCTGTTGGATGGACACATATTCTTCCTCAAAAGGTAAATAATCTGGAAGAGCCACTCATCTCACCCATCAAATGTCATCCAATATCAGCTGATGAACTAAGAGTGAGATTTGAGAAAGTGAAGAGGAACATTAATTTTGATGAAGAAAAAATAAAGAAAGTAGAAGAGCAAACACGAGGGCAGTCAAACTCAAATTTGTGGCATCATCACAGGCAGCCCAGGATTACTGCTACAAATTGTTACAGAATAGCTGTGCAAAGGGAAACAACATCACCAACAAAAATCATCCAAGATGTCCTTGGTTACAAAAAACCATTTCAGAGTAAATACATGCAAGAAGGACTTGAAATGGAGGACAGGATCATAGCTGCTTACAAATTATTAAAGCAGGGGGAAGGGGTTACTGATATATCCGTAGAAAAATGTGGCTTTTTCATTTCCAAGCATCATGGGTTACTCGGAGCAAGTCCAGACGGATTAGTGTGTGACCCTTCTGCAGAAGACAGTAAGGGTCTTCTTGAAGTGAAATATATTCAGATGGAAAAGCAAGAAAGTCTGGAGGAGGCTCTGCTCCGAAAAGGAATTTGCAAGAAGTTTGAGGAATCTGTGATTTTGAACTCAAGACACAAATATTATTTTCAAGTACAACAGGCAATGTTTGTGGCAGAGCAAAAATGGACTGACTTTGTGGTTATGGGAACAGCCTCTTCCACACCTTTTTGTGAGAGAGTTTATTTCTCACAAGAACACTGGGATAGAATATTCCCAAAACTTGAATCATTTTTTAACTGCTGGATTGTACCAGAACTTTCATATCCTTGTGTGAAATATGGGCTCCCCAAAATTGATGCGCGCATGTTTTGAGAGCTTTTTGTTTTAAGAGTTTTATTCTTTTTCATCTACTAGAAAACTTATAACTGAAGTTGTATTTCTTAACATGTCCAATGTTGAATAATATCATTATACTATACGCTGCATGTTTTGGCAAACCTAGATTTAAATGTGTAGTCAAAGCATTTGCAATGCTAAACCTAAAATGCAAATGACCCAACCTACTATCATTGTGTGATGTAGCTGCTCCCCAAAGTAAGCTGAATTTGAATCACTCATTTGACTCCAATTTCAATACCAATATTATTGTTTGGTCCAAACAAAATTTATTTCATTACACCATTTAATGAAAGTTATTGCAATATGAATGTTTTCGTGTTTCATCATCAACATGTGTCATGACAGTTAACAATATTACATGATAATTTTTAATTTATAAGAGGGGGTTGAAAATTTGACAAAGCACAGACCACTACAAGCATGTCTGATGCAATAGGTGCAATAGTAATTGGTATCTTATGGTCGAAGATGTGCCAGTTCTTTATACGTTCCATGAGCCGCTCCACATGAACTCTTAGGCTAGCAACCACCTTGTTGTGATTTGTTTCATTTGTGGAAAACTGTATCTTCTGTTCTAAAAATTTTGGTATAACAAGGCTTGCACCAACAGAAGCTAATTCATCCTGACAATTGAACCCTTTGTCAGCCAGTACCTGGTCACCAGGATTTAGTCTGTCTAGAAAACCACTAAGAACAGTTATTTCCTTATCTGAGGTTGAACCAGGAAATAAGTCACTCACAAAACATAAAACACCGCTTGGCGTTATGCCCAACAGTGATTTCATGGTGGTTCTTGACTTGTATGATGAAAAACAGGTAGACTGTGAATCAAGAGCAGATGGCCTCTCCATTTCAAATTCCGTGCAATCGACAATGACTGTTACGTTAGGCAACAGTTTCTTAAAACTGTCAGGCCTATAACATTGAAGTACTTCTCTTGGGGGGATGATGATAAGAGGTTCAAATTCCCTCCTCAAAAATGGAATCCAGGCATTTACAATCTTAGAGACAGTTGATCTTGAAACCAAAAATCGATGAGCAAGATCATTCTCAAACAAACCCAGCCTCAAGCGCAGCATAACAAGGGTAAACTCCTGGAATTTAGTAAGTACTCTGGGTCTCCCAACATTACCGTTCGTGGTGGTCCTTTTGTGCCCATAATTAATATTGCTAGAGGCTTGTTCTACAGTTTTGTAACAAAGAATAAAAGCATTGTAATCGGGAAAGCCGGTGTAGAATGCAATATCATCATCTTTATCTTTAAATTTGCTTATGTCAAATCTATTGTTATCTAAAGCATGCTTCAAGCTTTCGATTTCCTTTTGTAATTTGCTGTTCACCTCTTTTATGTTGTTGTTTTCTTTCTCCAACTGCTGAATCTCTCCCTTAAGCTTAACAATTTCTTGTTCTCTTGTTTGCATTCTGTTGTATAAACTGTTTAGTTGGTCTCCAGTAAGTAACGTTTGCATTTCCACACTGGTACTGGTGTCAGCATTAACATTCATATTTTCTGTCTGTTCTTCAAATTTAAAGTTCGCTTCCTGTGGTAATTGAGCAAGTGCTGTTTTTCTTTTTTTGGTTTGCTCTATTTTCTGTACATCTTCGAAACTGGCCCTCTTGCGTTCTCTACGTTGAGCTGTCGGTTTTGTCCATGGAAAAATTGAAGGCAAGTGCGTTCTGCTAAGTTTTTCTCCTCCATCGAAATGAACTGAGCAAATCCGCGTACTCGTAGAATCTAATTTCAGAGTCTCGTTCCTCATAAGAACCACGTACTTTCTACGTATATGAGGGTCTTTTGGAATTCTATAATACTGAAGGTTAGGTGCATTTCTGTAACTATTAGTGCAGCCTGGAATACAGCAGTTATAGTGTGCCATGTTTGTCACACGTCAGCTGTGCGTTTGTTTACCTTCACGCTGTCCCTCCAAACGATCCCAAGAGCCTTTATGGTGGCAAATCGTACCCAGACCGCCGCTCGTTTTGAAAATGGCTAATTGTGATCGACGTCGTTTGAATGCAACTGTTGATTTCCTTTGTTTGTCCTTCGAACTTTTCATGTCCATTTTCGTATTATGGTCTACGCAGAAAAGACCTGGCTCTAATCAAGAGCTTCTTTGTTTGGTGATCAATTTCTTTATTCTTGTGACCTTAATGTGGGATTCAGGGGTGTTACTGGAGAAATTGAATGATGTAATTCACTCATAAGGGTCAAAGGCTTATGGCAAATACCAGAAACTTTTCCATCCCAAAGTTATCAGAACTGTTCCAGTAACTAATCTGATTAATGCATTTTTTTTAAAAAAGGAATCTTTCAAATCTTTCCAGCTCTCTTTAAGATTGTGTCCTACAATATGTAGGTTGGGCTGTACTTGTAACTTCTATTGTGAAATTAAATGCAGGGTTGGGGTTATTTTTAAGAGTGCTGCCTAGTGTTGACTACTGTGACTTACTGACAGATCACCAACAGAATACTGACTGTAAGCTGCCTTTATGCCGCCAGGTCTGCTTAAAGCTGCTGGCCGATAGTCAGTCAACTGCTGACCAACTGTAGCTTGTGTGGAAGGATGCCTGTTCTGCTGATTTACCACAAGAACTTTGTGTGTGTAAATTTGGGCATAGCTTGACATATAGTGAGAAAAGTACCTTGAATTACACTGCATTTAACTAATCTGAATAATTCCGACTGAAAAAGCAATTTGAGCTCTTTTTTCTTGACCGAAAAACCACAATTCCTAAGCCATCAGCAGACGTACACCTTCTTAGACATACTTGTGCGCATTGCGTACCTACTTTATTGAAGGTTGGAGTTCGTATCGACAAGTTAGTTATCACGTGATTTTCCAGAAAGAAAGCTCTTTAACACACTTTTTGTTTTCGCTCTGATCATCGGGCTATCTCGGGTGATTACTTTGCTCTTTTTTCTTGTGAGGAAGGAGTTGGAATGCACTGACTGACAGTGAGCTTGGAGCAAATTCAAAGATGCGAAAGTTCTTTCATGTCTTCATTCTCTCTGCAAAATATGTCTGGAGGGGCTGGTCGATAGAAAAGGAAACGTTGGGAAGTTGAGTTGTCCTTCTTGTCGGATTTGTGCTTTCTTGTCGGTTAGTTTTTTTTTGGTTGATAGATGTGCACATGTCATGTGATTCAGTCTTACAACTTACCGGTAGTACCCCAACACTTCTAGAGCTCCTTAGACAAGGAAGAATGGGATCTAGTTCGCTACTATGTATGAGTGGGCCAAAATTATCGTGAAAAATGGCTGCGAAATGACACGTAACGTTGCTGAATTACTTGTTCACGCCATCGCGTGACTCGAATTTACTTTATGACTGTATCTCTTGTCTTTGTGAAGCTGCGACTGTGCTGTGCCTTGTTGAAGAAACCAAGGAGCTCGGTACTGAGACTTGATGAAATGCTTCAACATTAAGATGTTGAATGTGAACAGCTGGTGTAAGCAAAGCGAAACAGTAAACGAAACAGTAAGGAAAACATTCTTGGCTTCACTGATTTCTCTTGATGGAAAGTGCGGATTACACGTCAGATAACTTTTTATTTTCCGAAACACAATAACCTCGTCTGGAGAACTTTCGCAGTCATAATTTCTCGTCTTGTTAAAATGCCTGTAATGACATTGGTTTATGATACAACAAGGCAACGTTTTCGCACAGCTCATTATTTTAATATGGATACGGTTCTTGGATTAAGAAGAGATTGACGAAAACAATAGGTCGCTTTTATTTTGGGAGTACTGCTTCGTTCATGAATAGTATGGGTTATAGTAATACGGAAATCTTTGGGAAAATACTTGTCTATTACAAACCAAACTTTCTGTTTAATTCATTAGCGTGGAAAGGATTTGTTTTTCCCCAGCTTGAACAATAGATAAAGGAGAGAAAATTACTAGATTATTTCCAAAATGCATCTCCCTTTGTTTTTTTTTTTTGTACAATTCTTGGTCATTCCCACATTATCAAAACACCTTCCCCCCCATCTGCTGAAAAACCAATCTCAAGTGTGCAAATTTCAAAAAAATGCAAAAAAGCAAGGAAAAGCTGCTTTTTGTAATGCCATGATGTTTTTTTGTCCTACACAGATTCCCGATGGCAATGTTGATTACCCACCAGTTAATTTCATCCTGAAAAATTTCTTATCCGTGGTTTCTTTTCATGTTGATTCTGGAAGAGGTATGGAGTGTGATCTCTCTGACAATGAGGATCCTCCTGTGAACAGATGTACTACATGCTATCACTTTCTCTGTGCATTTGGCACACAAGCTCATTAGTGTTTGGGCAACACTAGGTCCCATGGTGTGGTTTCACTTGAAGAAGCGAAAAGAATTGGATCTGTGGCTGTGACAAAGCCCAGTGTTTGCAAGGAACACAGTGGAGAGTTGTTGAGGCTGTTTTGTGAGACATGCAATAAAGCTGTCTGTAGAGACTAAACAATTGTGAAGCATCATGAACCCAAATATACATTTGAAACAGATGCTTTTGTAAAGAATAAGGAAAGTGTGTTAAAAATTCTCTCAGGGACAAAAAGGAAAGCTGGGTTTTTAAAGGAGGCAATTGATAAAGTTTACAAAAAAACTACCTAACTACGAGGATATGGCAACTGGAGCCATGTGTACCTGATGTGATCACATTTACTACCGATGATCATTTGCAGCAGATGATACCCAACTTCGGAAGTGTCACTGATAGACTCGCGTGTGCTGGTACATCACCAGTAACTATAGGACATGGAGCAGAGGGTGTAATGTGTAATACACTTTGTGGCTAACCTGCTGAATTCACTGTCTATACAAAGAGGAGTAATGGGAAGAAATGAGAGCAAGGTGGTGATACATGTGAAGTAGAACTCTGTATGTAGGCTGGCAACGTAGTATTCAGTGATCCCCCAGTAACTATGGGACATGGAGCAGAGGGTGTAATGTGTAATACACTTTGCGACTAACCTGCTGAATTCACTGTCTTTACAAAGATCGGGGAGTAAAGGGAAGAAATGAGAGGAAGGTGGTGATACATGTGAAGTAGAACTCTGTTTGTAGGCTGGCAATGTAGTATTCAGTGATCCCCCAGTAACTATGGGACATGGAGCAGACGGTGTAATGTGTAATACACTGTGCGGCTAACCTGCTGAATTCACTGACTATACAAAGAGGAGTAATGGGAAGAAATGAGAGGAAGGTGGTGGTACATATGAAGTAGAAATCTGTATGTAGGCTGGCAATGTAGTATTCAGTGATCCCCCAGTAACTATGGGGCATGGAGCAGAGGGTGTAATGTGTAATACACTGTGCGGCTAACCTGCTGAATTCACTGTCTATACAAAGAGGAGTAATGAGAAGAAATGAGAGGAAGGTGGTGATACATGTGAAGTAGAAATCTGTTTGTAGGCTGGCAATGTAGTATTCAGTGATCCACCTAAAGACTGTGGAAATGGAATGAACACATTCTGTGTAACTCCAAATGCTAGAAATATGCAATACCAGCTGTCTGTAAAACTCATTGGTTGTCATGTAAGGGGAAGTCCATATAAATGGCTTGATGAAATGTGGAATCTTTGCATAGGTGGCTACATTCATCTAACCGCAGGGGGCCCATACAATCTGTTTGTGTAGCCGATTGTTATGTTATAGTGATTGTACCAGATTTACCGTTTGCCTCACCTATAGCGATATATTGCTGACTATGTATATAAATCAATGAGAAATAAACGCTGAATTACCTTACCTGTGGTTGTAGTGCTTTTAAGGTACACTTCGTGTGCCATACATAGTGCAGGTAAGCAGGTAATGTGAGAGAGGATTGAATCGTTAAAGTAACATGGCAGATGTATAGATTAGATTCGTGTGTATCCATTTCCATCGACTTTAGAACGTGACATCTGGCGACGAGGATAGAAGTTGCAGCTGCCCAGACATGGCGTCAATAAAGATAGACGATTTAACGAGTGTGAAACCATTCGATCCACATGGTGAACCTTCAAGCGTGGGAAGGCGATGGCAGCGTTGGTTGAAAAGCTTCTCAGTTTATGCCGATAGCAAAGGCTTGCTCATCCAAGTGGATAAAGCGGATAATAAAATTCAGAGGAGAGCTTTACTCCTTCATTCGGCCGGCGAAGCTGTTCAGGAAATTTTCGAAACGTTACCTGACACAGGCGAGGCGAAAGATTACGAAAAAGCGGTGAAGGCTTTGAACGACTATTTCATTCCAAAGGTAAATTC